CCACTGCCACACCAGCCATGGTGCCCTTCCACATCCAGTTATCCAGAGGGCTGTGGGAGAAGGGTTAGCGGGGTGAGGAGAGCCAGAGCCCAGAACACTGCCAGCCAGAGAACCTTCTTCCCCAGGCCTCCAGTTCCCACAGGCCCTCAGGCAAACCAGCCTCTTCTGGGCAGGGGACTGCACTGTGCAGTGGGCCTGCCTTGTAGGTCCTGCGGTCTCCATCATAGGGGAATGCTGAAAATGTCACAAGCTATTGCTCCTTTTCGTATTTATTTATTTATTTATTTATTTTTCGAGAGGGTTTCTCTGTGGCTTTGGAGCCTGTCCTGGAACTAGCTCTGTAGACCAGGCTGGTCTCGAACTCACAGAGATCCACCTGCCTCTGCCTCCCGAGTGCTGGGATTAAAGCCGGGCGCCGCTTTTGGTCTCCTGCCCCTAACTTCCTTTTCGACCCTGAACTTGCCAGTTCCAGCCTCCTTCCTGCAGGGATGTTGTACTACTGGCCACGCACTGTCACGGACACTGATAACGTCTTAAAAGGCACAGAGCAGCCTCCTGTGACACAGAGCTAGCTAGAGCCTGGGCTGGTGGCACAGGTGGCACAAGTTTCATTACTCAGAGGTTTGAGGCGTGAGGACCAAAAGTTCAGTGCCACCTTGCATGACAGAGTGAATTGAAGACCAGCTTGAGAAGTTGAGTGAAATCATAATCTCCAAATAGAAAATATAAGGCTGAAAGTACAATAACTAACTCGATAGATGATAGATAGATCAATGATAGATAGATGAGGATAGATAGATGATAGTCAGATAGATAAATAGATGATGAATAGATAGATGATAGATAGATAGATGATAGATAGATGATAGATAGATAAATGATAGATAGATAGATAGATAGATGATAGACAGACATTGGAATATTACTGTGATCTCATTTTGCAGATGAGAAAACTGAGGCCTATATAAAATGACCAGAAGTGGCCATTTATCTACATCTGTCCTGTGAGAGCTGGCATCGGTCAGGGTGACAGTTGGGAACTATAGTCAGGAGAGTGGGGGAAACACAAGACTCAAAGTGCAGTACCTGTAAATGACAGGGCTGGTGGCAGAGGCCAGGACTGTTGTCATCCAGGGGGTCGTGGATGGGGCTAAAGATGTAAGAAACCATAATGAACACAGCATCTGTCTTTCCACTCCACCCAAGCCCCAGGCTCCTGCTCCTGGAAGAGGAGGACCTTACACACCAGAAAGGCGATGCCGTGCTGTGAATGGAGCTGGAGTCACGTCCTGAGAAGTCACAGCACATGTGACTATAAATGAGGCCTCTCCTGCTTCCTGCTTTCTTTCATTTAAAGATTTTTGTTATTTTTAATTATGTGTCTGTGGCGGGGGTGATGTGTGCATGTGAGTGCAGTGCCCATGGAGACAGAGGTATCAGATCCTCTGGAGCTGGAGTCACAGGCTGCTGTGAGCCATCTGGGGACCAATCCAGGTCCTCTGTTAGAGCAGCAAGCACTCTAATCACTTAGCCATCTGCCCAGCCTCCAGTGTTCTTTTTAAAATGTGTGTGTGTTTATGTACATGCATGTGCATGTTTGTGTGTATGCAGGTGCACATGTGTGCATGTATACATGTGTATGTGTGCATGTGTATATATACGTGAGTATGTGTACATGTGTGCATGTACATATGTATATGTGTGCATGTGTATGTGTGCATGTGTATGTGTACATGTGTGTATATATATGTGAGTATGTGTGCATGTGTATGTATGCATGTGTATATATGTGAGTATGTGTGTGTGCATGTATATATGTAAATGCATATGTGTACATGTGAATGCTAAAGGGAAATTTACATATATTTACTCGAGTGTAGTCCATTTAACTTTATTTAATTTTTGAGACTGGGCTTCTCACTTGCTGGACTTTGCCAGTGAGCCCCAAAGATCCTCCTGTCTCCACGTCGCCGGTGCTGGGATTGCAAGATGTGCCTACATGCCCAGCTTTGTCTTTAATGTGCATTTGTGAACGGAACTTACACAGTGACTCAGATAGGTTTTCCATAATTATGATAAAACACTCTGTCCAAAATAACTTATGGGAGGAAGAGTCTGTTGCAGTATACAGTTCAGAGTGCAGCAGATAACAGCAAGGAAATCAAGACAGCAGGAGCCGGAAGCAGCTGGTTGCAGGGCATCGATAGTCAGGCAGTAGAGACCAGTGAGTGTTTCAGGCTCACTTCCCTTTTTATACTGAGTCTGGGACCCCAAGCTTAGGGAATGGTGCCTCCCACTTTGAGAAAGGGTCTTCCCAGCTCAAGCTAAGATAATCCCTAACAGGTGTCGTCAGAGGCTTGTCTCCCTGCGGATTCTTGGTTTGACTACACTGACAACTAAAACCATCACACAGGGCAAGCACTTCACTGGCTAAGTCATCTCTTGAGGCCTGTGTCCACTATGTTTGAATATATAAAGGTCACACCTAATGCCACCCCTCCATGGAATGTGCCTGGGCCAAAGCTTTCCTGAAATAACCTCCAGGCCCCCATTGTACCAAAGGGCTGGACATGCTCTGCAGCAGGGAAAGCCCTGGGAGGAGCTGTCCACACTGTGAGCACATGAACATGACAGACTGATTCAGAGCCTTCCGCCACTGCAGTCTTCTGCATGAGATACACAGGAAACTCAGGCCACTAGCAGCAGCCTCTGGGCCAACTTCCCAGAGCACAGAGGTTCTCAGTCATCAAGAGCAGATCCTGGATGAGGACCGCATCTCCCAGCCTTCCCCACTAAGCCCTTTGTGTGCCTCTCTGTGTAGCTGTCTCCTCTTGGTCCACATCTCTCAGTGCCTTCTCCATTTGCTCTGAGGTCTCTCTCATGTGATGGAGCCTGCCACCCCTGGAGAGAAGGTTTCTGATAGGATTGTAGGAAGGGATGTTTGGGTGTGGGCAGCTGTGACACCTGGAGGGAACAACAAGATCCTTCAATGAACAGAGTTCTGTTAGCAGCAGCAGCAGCAGCAGCAAAACTGCCCAGAAGTCAGCAAGCCTGTGTTCAAGGATTGGCTCTGCCCTGAACCAGCAGGGGGTCTTGCAGGGAGGGGGTCTTCCCTGTGCCCCAGTTCCCAGCTATTCAAAGACACAGTTTCTAGCGTCCTCTCCAACTCTGGAGCCTGGTGATCAGGAAAGCTGAGAGTCACATAAAAGGGGGAAGCTCACCTCTTGACACCACCAGGCTGATGGTTTTGAGAACATGGACTGTTCCGCGATTGTCATAGATCCCACAGACATAGTGACCTGAGTCTCTCACCGTGCGTGTAGTCATGGTGACAGTGAAGAAGAGAGAGTCAGGATGGTCCCGGATGGAGAAATTCGGCCGCTGAGCTTCTGGGCTGAGACTGGACACTAACACTTTACAACGTTCTATTGATGTTTTCTGACACCACACCTTCTCTTTGACGTGTTGGCTGTGATAATACTGGCAATTCACAGAAAAGTTCTGGCCTTCCACTACTTGAAATAACTCTGCATGGGCGCAACAGCCTGGGAACACACACACCCTTCAGATCAGAGAGTCCCCCAGTCTACACAGCAGGGCTAGGAGATGGGCTCCCTTCTCAGGGACTGCCCTCTTTGTGTCTATGCTCAGGGTGCAGCTTAGAGCCAGTCGCTGGCCACAACACACCATGTGTTCCACCATAGAGCCTTGTTTTGCACACCTCCCAACCCCTTCCCTCTCCTCTCCCTGGTCCTTTCCCTCTATCCTTGTCCCCTGTCCTCACCTGAGTCCAGGAGCACCAGCAGGATGGGGGATAGCAGATATGTGGCCTCCCAGGCCATGGGTCCTCTTCTCAAGCTGGAGGGGAGCAAGCAGGGAAGGAGGGAGGGATGCTCTGAGGAGAGGAGACCTGGGCAGGTCAGGGTCCAGGCAGCCCCCACAGCCAGTGCAGGGTGAACTGCTGAGGAAGCCTGGACCTCCGAGGACAACAGGGAAGCTGAGCAAGACCTGTGCGGCCCTGTGGCTCCTCCAGCACAGGCTCTGGTTCAAGGCTTCTGTACTGAACTAGATAAAGGGGCACAGAGATGGTTTAGTCTCCTGCCCCAGAAGACCGGGGTGTGGAAAGCTTAGAAAGCCCAGGAGGAAACCGCAGTGAAGTAAGAGTCTTGCTCATTTCTATTCAGCAACACCCACAAGTTCCCCTCTTCCTTTTTAGCCTCAAGTTTCTGTACCCCCACCCAAGTTTGGCTCCCACTGAAGGCAGGTGACAGAACCAGAGGCCCTTTGGAAACCTGGCTAGAACTCTAAGCCCTCTTTGACCCACCTGGTAACCAGAAATTTCTGTGTGTACTAGAAGGGATGAGAAGAAGGGGGTGGACATGCATTCTCAGGATTGGAGGAGCAAGGGGGTCCTGATTAGTTTGGGAGACCACAAAGCTAGGTATGAAGGGAGAGAGCTCAGAAGGAGGGAAGGAAAAGGGGAGCCGCAGCCCTGTGTCACCCCCATATACCCAGTTTCATAACATGTCACAGTCACTGCTAATGTCACTTGAAAGACTGTACTCGTCAAATGTATTTCAAAATAACTGTCACAGGACAGTAAGATGGCTCAGCAAGGAAGGACACTTGCTACCAAAACTGATAACCTGGTATTGGCATAAAAACAGAGGAAGTCGACCAATGGAACCGTATAGAAGACCCTGACTTTAATCCACAAACCTATGAGCACCTGATTTTCGATAAAGGAGCTAAAACTATACAATGGAAAAAAGAGAGCATCTTCAACAAATTGTGCTGGCAAAACTGGATTTCAATCTGTACAAAAATGAAAATAGATCCATGTCTGTCACCATGCACAAAACTCAAGTCCAAGTGGATTAAAGACCTCAATATCAGTCTGAACACACTGAACCTGATAGGAGAGAAAGTGGGAACTACACTACAACAAGTGGGCACAGGAGACCGCTTCCTACGTATAACATCAGCAGCACAGACAGTAAGGGCCTCATTGAATAAATGGGACCTCATGAGACTGAGAAGCTTCTGTAAAGCAAAGGACACTGTCGCTAAGACAGAAAGGCAACCCACTGACTGGGAGAAGATCTTCACCAACCCCGCAACTGACAAAGGTCTGATCTCCAAAATATATAAAGAACTTAAGAAACTAGACTGTAAAAGGCTAATCAACCCAATTATAAAATGGGGCACTGAGCTGAACAGAGATCTCTCAACAGAAGAAGTTCAAATGGCCAAAAGACACCTAAGGTCATGCTCAACTTCCTTAGCGATCAGGGAAATGCAAATCAAGACAACTTTAAGATACCATCTTACACCTGTCAGAATGGCTAAAATCAAAAACACCAATGATAGCCTATGCTGGAGAGGTTGTGGAGAAAGGGGTACACTTATCCATTGCTGGTGGGAATGCAAACTTGTACAACCACTCTGGAAAGCAGTGTGGCGGTTTCTCAGAAAATTTGGGATCAACCTACCCATGGACCCAGCAATACCACTCTTGGGAATATACCCAAGAGAGGCCTTATCATGCAACAAAAATATATGCTCTACTATGTTCATAGCAGCATTGTTTGTAATAGCCAGAACCTGGAAACAACCTAGATGCCCCTCAATTGAAGAATGGATGAAGAAAGTATGGAATATATACATATTAGAGTACTACTCAGCAGTAAAAAACAAGGACTTCTTGAAGTTTGCAGGCAAATGGATGGAAATAGAAAACACTATCCTGAGTGAGGTAAGCCAGACCCAAAAAGAGGAACATGGGATGTTCTCACTCATATTTGGTTTCTAGCCATAAATAAAGGACATTGAGCCTA